TGCTTATGTGACTGAGCCACCCAGGTGGCATATTTTTTAATAGACATTGGAAAATCCAAAAAGACACATACCCTAATACCCTGGCCATTCACTTCTCCAAAAAGAAAACCACTGTTCCTTGTATATCCTTGCAAAGATACTCTGTTAATATATGAGTGTGTGTGTGAGTATATATATTTTTATTTTTTACTCAAATAGAGCATACTATACATGCAGCTCTGCACCTTGTTTTTTTCATTGTATGTCTTACGGTATGGTTCCAAATTGGCACATGTAGAGTTGCCTCATCCTTCCTAAAGATTGCATGGCCTTCCATTGCCTGGATGTACCCCAATTTATTTAACTGATGCCTAATGCTAGACTATAGTTTCCAGGCTTTTAAAAAAATTTTTTTTAATGTTTATTTTTTTACGAGAGAGAAAGGGAGAAAATAGGGGAGAGGGAGAGAGAGAGAGGGAGACACAGAATCTGAAGCAGGCTCCAGGCTCTGAGCTGTCAACACAGAGCCCGATGTGGGGCTTGAACCCATGAGCTATAAAACCCATGAGCTATAAGATCATGACCTGAGTTGAAGTCGGAAGCTTAACCCATTGAGCCACCCAGGCACCCCCCCTTCTTTAAATTACTTTTCCAGTCTTTTGCTATTATAAACAATACTGCAATGAATCTTTGTATAAATTTATCATTCCATACATGTGAGAGTGTATATAGAATTTAAATTCCTAGAAGTGACACACCCATTGGAATGGCTAAAATCCCAAACAGTGATAACACCAAATTCTGGCAAGGATGTGGAGGAACAGAAGCTCTCATTCATTGCTGGTGGGGATGTGAAACAATGCAGCCACTTTGGAAGACAGTTTGGCAGTTTCTTACAACACCGAACGTACAATCCAGCAATCTCTCTCCTTTGTGTTTACCAAGAAGAGGTAAAAACTTTTGTTTGTATAAAAACCTGCACGTGGATGTTTATAGCATCTTTCTTCCTAATTGCCAAAACTTGGAAGGAACCAAGACTTCCTTCTGTAGGTAACTGGATAAACTTCAATACAGACGAGGGATTAGTATTCAGGGCTGGAAAGAAATAAGCTATCAAGCCATGGAATGACATGGAAGAAACTCAAAGGCCATTACTAACTGAAAGGAGCCAATCCGAAAGGCTACATACTGTACATTGGACATTCTGGAAAAAGGCAAAACTATGAAGACAGTAAAAAAGATCAGTGCTTCCTGGGGCGAGGGGGAAGGAGGGATGGATAGGCAAAGCAGAGGATTTTTAGGCAGTGGAACAATTCTGTATGATGTTGTAATGGTGGATATGTCCTTATACATTCATCCAAGTGTACAACACCAAGAGTGAATCCTAATGTTAACTATGGACATCCATCTGTGGACTCTGGTGAGGGTGTTGTTGGGGGCGGGGGGAGGCTGTGCTCGTGTCAAGGCACGGGGCAGGTGGGAAATTCTGTATCTTCCTTTCAATTTTGTCATGAACCTAAAACTGTTCTGAAAAATAGTCTATTTTTAAAAATCCTGGAAGTGACATTGTGCGATCAAAGGATATATGTATTTACATTGTTAATAGATATAGCAAGTGCTTTCGTGGAGCAATTGACATTTTTCACCAACATGTGGACACCTCACCCTCATCAAGGCAATGCAGTAAAACTTTTTGATCTTTATTCAAATGATTGAGGAGAATCATGGTATCTGCTTGTCATTTTAGTTTTCATGTCTCCTATTATAAATCAGATAGGGACACCTGGGTGGCTGAGTTGGTTAAGCGTCCAACTGTTGGGTTTCAGCTCAGGTCACGATCTCAGGGTTGATGAGTTCGAGCCCCGTGTCGGCTCTGGGCTGACAGCTCAGAGTCTGGAGCCTGCTTCGGATTCTGTGTCTCCCTCTCTCTCTGCCCCTCCCCTGCTCGTGCGCTCTCTCTCTCTCAAAAATAAATATTTTTTAAAAATTGATACCCTACTCCTACTCCAATATGGCTTCATCTTACTTTAATTTACTATATCTGCGACCACTCTGTTTCCAAATAAGGTCACATTCTGAGATACCAGGAGTTAGGATTTCAACATATCTTTTTTGGAGGAACACAATTCAACCCATAACAACCTTCCTCTAGAGTCTTTGGGGAGGGGGTGAGAAAGAACGTAAAAGCGAAAGATGCCGAAACCTTCTGCTTACACTGCATTCAGCCTGCCTGAGTCATATTGCTGAGATAGTTACAGCCTCAGCCTTCACTCTAAGCACACAATGCAGATGAGTTACCAAAAACTTCAATCTGGACTTCAGAGGAATTTACAAAACACTTCTGCCCCATGTAGATTGCACCCCTTCCTGGTTCATGCTTGAGGGAACTGTATGTAGGCTCATCTTTCAGCCATTGCCTCGCCACTCCGGTCCTTGACTGGATAACCTGCAAGCTTGAATTAAGAGAAAAAGAAATGTACAAAGAAAGGTCAAATGACAGCCCCACCTCCATCCTTATCAGACCAGAGACCTCACACCAGGAAGATTTTTGTTTGCTTCTTGTACTGCCCATGGGGGCGGGGCAGGGCAGGGGTCCTGCTGTCCACCTGAGCTCCCTGTTCGCCCTTTGAGAGGTACAGGAACCCACAGGTGGAACTGTTCTCGAAGTAATTCCACTGCTCTCAAGTTTCCGTCAAAAGACATCCTTTTTGAATTCAACACCTGTTGCCCACTAAACCTATTAAGAGTCTATTCATGGAAGGCCAGCTTTTACTGCTTGGTTCAACCACACCTCTACCAAGAGCCCTTTCTGTCTGTCATTGGTCAGGATTTGGACTTTTGTTTGTTGTCTCAGGATTAAGGCACAGGCTTTTCTTGCTTTTCTGTGGTGTTTTATACTATACCCTGCATCCTAGAATTTAGACACCGATGAGAGGCTAACCTAAGTCATGGTTAACTTGGGTGGGGATTCCATGCTCCCCTGGGTCTAAGAGGTTGGAATTTAGAGGAAGGCATGCTTCCTGCTCACTTCCTGCTCATCAGGGCATTTGAAGCACTATTTAATTCCACACCACCTTTCTATGATCAGTACTTCCTCTCAAAAGTCCTACACTCCTTACCTACCAGGGCACCCCAAGTAGGGTGAGGTAAGTGAGGCACTCTCCTGGGGGTGAAACTTAAAGGGGCCTAAAAAGTGTCCGTAATCAAGATAACACTTTCATCCAAAAATAGAAAGAATAATTGGCAAAGTAGGCCAGCTGCTAACTGCCTAATTTTGTAAATAAGGTTTTTAGGGGTGGGATTAACGTGGGAGGAGAGAGGCAGGATTGTGCAAATGCAGAAATGCATTTGAAATTTTGATACATTGCTCATGGTGGATTTTTTTGCACTAATTTTGATTTTAAAAAATATTGCATTAAAATATTTATCTTGATTATGGAGGTTTGGGGTTTTTTTTTTTTCTCGAATCCATACATTTTGCGATTGAAGCACGTGTCTCTCACTAGCCTTACCCTCGTATCGGCTTTGTAAAATTACCAGTCAACAAAAACTCAATCCACCTTCTTCAGCCACGCCTCATACATGTTAGAGAATCAGGCTGGACCCATCCCTAATCCCCCAGCGTACAGATGCCTGCACCTTGAAGTCTCCTTGCGTCCCAGTGGGTTTTAAGATCCTCTCCTCTGGCTTTCCTTGCACGTGCATTAAAATACTACATTGCATTTAGATCGGTCTTCTGCACTCTCAGCAGCCGGGGTGTCTCGACCATGTGTTTTTGCACTTCGGCTCAGGTTAGGAAATGATCTCTTCCTTTCCTCAAAGTTATCCAATTTCACGGCTCGCCAACCACCTCCTCCAACCACGACGCCTTCCATAACCGCGCTGACCTGCAGCGGTGTCCTCTCCAGCAACGTTCTGCGTCTCGGTCCGTGCTCGGCCCTGGGACGTAGGGTGACAGGACCGGCCCCAGCCAGGGTCGCCGGGGCCGCGGACCCTCCCCGAGCCCAGACCAGCTCGCTGTCGGGCCGCCGCATCCCTTCACCGGTCATCGTGTGATCCGGTCTGCGCGCTCCGCCGAGTCGTCCGGCGTGAGAAAGGGCTCGCAGGTTTTTACGGAAAGGGACTGAGAAGCGCGAAAAAGCTCCCCGCACGATAGTGCGCAGGCGCAGCAGCGCCCGACGCTTTCTTCAGCCGCGTCTTTGGCGCCGCCGGCTCCGCGCCCCGCGCTCGGCAGCCCGGTGGGGGGCGCTGCGGGGAAGGACCCCCTAGGCGGGAGGGGCTCCTTGGAGGGGGTGTGGTGCGGCGCCCGGGTCGCCGCCCTCGGGGGAGGGGACCCGTGCGGGCGGAGGGCCGCGGCTAGGAAGGGCATGGGGCGGGCGCGACCCGGGGCGTGCGCGGGGGCCGGGGGCCCGAGGAGAAGGGTGACGGCGGGTGACAACGGGCGGGGCTGCGGGCGGCGCCGCGTTCACGCCCTCTGCTCGGCCGGGCCGGGAGGGTCCTCGGCCTCTGTGCGCGCCGGGCCGGGCAGGCTGAGGCGCACGGGGCGGACGCGGCGCCATGCACGGCCCGCCTGCTTGGCCGCTGCGGCTGCTCGTGTGGCGAAGCCCGGCCGCCAGAACG